AAATCTATTATGTACAACTTGCTATTCCTTTTAAATATATAATAAAGTTATCATGTAAATTTTTTTTTTGCTTTTTTCCTTCCCTCTCCACCCCTCCCCAACCCTAGAGATGACTATCATTAGACACAAATAGGTGCATATATATGTAAAATTATTCTGTATATACTTCTATTTATTAGTTCTTTCTCTGGATGCAGATAGTGTCTTCCTTCATAGGTCCTTTGTAAGTTAATTTGAGTATTTATAATAGTTCTAATATTGGGATTGTCTGACACAGAGAGGAAAAGACCTATGGGAGAACATGGCAGCTATCTTCCAATAGCTGAAGGATTGTTGGGTGGGAGCAGAATTAGATTTGTTTTGCTTATCCTCACAGGACAGAACTAGGAGCAATGAATGAAGGTTGTAGAAAGGTGGATTTCTGTTCATTAAGGCAGACAGAGATTAAGTGACTTGCCCAGGGTCATTCAACTAAAAAAAACAGGCACTAGATTTGAACTCACATCGTCCTGACTCTGGATCCAGGGCGTTATCCACTGCACCATCTAGCTACCTAAACAAAGTGAACTGGGAAGAAGGTTACAAACCATATTCTGACCTCAGATATGTATATCCTAAGTCATAGAATGTGGGAAACAAAGTTAAAATGTCATTTTAGCACAAGGAGATGACTGTAATCTCACTGTTGTTACAGAAGTTTGATGGGATAAGACCTAAGACTCATATCTGATCATGGAAGAGTTCAGCTTGTTTAAAAGAAACTGTTCTGATAAAAGGGGAAGGGAAGCAGTAAAGACTGTTAAGAAAGTATTACTGCCCCAATGGAGAAGTTGTCAAAAGATATAAATAAACAGTTCTCAAAGGAAGAAGGGCAAACTATCAAAATCCATGTGGAACAGTGCTCCAAATCACTTATAAAAGAAATTAAAGTTAAAAAATTCTGTGGTTTCACCCCACATTCAGCAAATGAACAAAAATGACAAAAGAAAAGAAGAGTTAATATCAGAAGGGTTACAGAAATTGGCACACTAGTGCATTATTGATGGAGTTGTGAATAAGTACAACTGTTCTAAAACAATTTGTGATTATGCAAATAAAGTAACTAAAAAGTCTCCACTCTTTAGGAGATTCCACTGCTAGGACAAAAAAGAAAACTTCCATTTACACCAAAATATTTATAGCAGCACTTTTTTGTGGTAGCAACTGAAAATAAAGTTGATATTAGTCAGTTGGGGAATGGCTAAACAACTGTGGTATTTAAATGTAATGTAATATTATTTTTGCTTAGTTGTTTTCAGTTGTGTCCAAGTCTTTTTGACCCCATTTGGGGTTTTCTTGGCAAAAATACTGGAGTGGTTTGTCATTTCCTTCTCCAGCTCATCTGACAGATGTAGAAACTGAAGCAAATAGGATTAAGTGACTTGCCCAGGGTCACACAATTAGTAAGTATCTGAGGCTGCATTTGAACTCTGATCTTCCTGACTCTAGGCCCAGCACTCTATCCATTGTACCACCTAGTTCCCCTAATGGAATATTAAGAAATAGTAAATATGATCAATACAAAGAAGTACAAAAATATTTATATGAACTGATGCAAAATAAAGTAAGCAGACCCAGGAAAATAATATTCACAATGCCACAGAACCATCAAAACTGACTTGTCGTGAAGGTATAAAGAAAAATCTTGACTCCAAAGAAAAAATGTGGTAAGAAACGTCCCCACCACCACCTTGGCAGAGGAGAGGTCCTCAGATGTCAAACATTACAAATAACATCAGATTTTTTTTCCAATATGTTGATCAGTTTTGCTGAATTTCTTTCTCGTCTTCTTTTTTTTTCTTTTTTAAAAAAAAGTCTTTGTTATAAGCAATGGTTCTTTGTGAGAAGAAATGGAGACATAAGATATATTTGGAAACTTTGAAAATACAAAAAAAAGATATCTATAAAATATTAAAAAAGAAAGAAAGAAAGTATTGGGGCAGGTAGGTGGTACAGTGGATAGAGTACAGACCCTAGAGTCAGGAGGTCCTGAGTTCAAATCTGCCCTCAGACACTCATTAGCTGTGTGTCATAACCCCCAATTACCTCCCCCCCCCAAAAAAAGAAAAAATAAAATACTACATCTGAATGGAAATAGACCATTCTGAAATCTAAAATACAGATAATGTAGACAAGGATAAAAGGGATGAACAATGGAAGTCATAATTTCCCTCTCAAATCTCTTGCCCCCTTGCCCTATTGCAGCTCATGCCTTGCCAAGCCCCAACCCCAGATTATCTTTACCATCTGATTCTTCCATTTCTACTCACTTATTGCTTAATGTTTTTAGAATCACACAATTCCTGACTGGGTCCACTACACCTTTGTTGTATCTCATCTCATATGGCCCCTCATTGTCATGAGGAAATCCTTTCACTTTCCTACTTGATGCTCGAACTTCTCTTACCTCCTCAAGCTTCTCCCACCGCCAGTTCCTCCCTCCTTCTCAGCAGAAGGCATAACTCAAACTTTACTGAGGAAATAAAGCCCAGTTCACTTGGGCTCCCTCTTCTAGTTAACATCTTTAAAAACCCTTATTAGCATCATTCCCCATTCTCTCCTCCTTTACTTCAGCTTCTTATGACAATGGAAGCCTAGCTTTCCATCTCCTCACCAAGGCCTTCCTGCAGATGGCTCCTACAACCATCCCTCTCACCAATATCCCATCTCTCCCTATAGACTGGCTCCTTCCTTGCTATCTACAGACATATCCAAGTCTCCCCCATTCTTAGAAAAAAAAACTCACTTGACCTTATCATCCACTCAAACTATTGTCCTATTTCTCTCCTTTTCATCACTAAACTCATATGGGGAAAAAACTGTTTATACTCATTGCTTCCTCTTCTCTTGGAGCACCTAGGTGGTGCTAGAATGTGGGGCCAAGAGTCAGGACTCATCTTTCTGAGTTCAAATCTGGTCTCAGACACTTGTGAACCTAGGCAAGTCACTTAACCCTGTTTGCCTCAGTTTCCTCATCTATAAAATGAGCTAGAGAAGGAAATTGCAAACCATTCCAGTATCTCTGCCAAAAAAACCTCAAATGGGATCAATGAGAGTTGGATACAACTGAAACAACTCAACAATTCCTCTTCTCTTACTTGTTTCTCAATACCTTCATCAAATGAAACTGCTCTCTGCTACATTACCAATGACCTCTTAATTACCAAATCAAATGACCTTTTCCCAGTCCTCCTCCTAATAACCACCTTCTTTCCTCCTAGTCACTCTGCTCTGGGGGTTTTCACAACATTTCTTCCTCTGGGTTCTCCTACCTGTCTGGTTGCTCCTTCTCATTCTCCTTTGTTGGATCATCATTCATATTACTCCTCTTACTGTGAATGTACCTCTAAGGCTCTGGTCTGGGCCATCTTCTCATCTCCACAAATACTTCCTGCAGATGGCTCCTACAACCATCCCTCTCATCAATATCCCATCTCTCCCTATAGATTGGCTCCTTCCTTGCTATCTACAGACATATCCAAGTCTCCCCCATTCTTAGAAAAAAAAAAACTCACTTGACCTTATCATCCACTCAAACTGTTGTCCTATTTCTCTCCTTTTCATCACTAAACTCATATGGGGAAGCAATTGTTATTATTATCACCATTTTACAGAAAAGGGGATTTTTACTTTTCATCTATCCCAAGAAAGGCAGGGGAACCCAAGACACAGACACAGAGCGCTTGAGGACAAAGGATTTTCTAAATGCCAGATCTAGTTATCTAATTCTTATTAAGAGCATATTACAAGTTGAATTCATCATGGCACTTGGGACCCAGAAAATCCTTCACTCTCCTTTCCTTTAAGCAAAGAAACTCCTTCTAGTCCTCCTCAAGTCATACTCCTGAAAGGGTCAGGGAAGAGGGGGAGAGAAGGAATCAGGGCCCTCACTGAAGTACTTCTCTCCCATTAGGCCTAGAAAGAAAAGAATAAAGGAGGGAGAAGCAGACAGGATGGTAGCACAGTAAAAGGCCCAAATGGAAAAAGAAGGCCTAGTTTGAGGAGAAAGAAGGACAAAACCTAGTTATCTTTCATAAATTAAGAGACTTGCCCAGGGTCACACAGATAGCAAGTATCTGAGGCCAGATTTGAACTCAGGTCTTCCTGACTCCATTCTAGTGCTCTGGCCATTATACTACCTAGTTATCCCTTACAAATAAGCATTTTCTTGCTATTTTCTCTCATAAAATAGGGAAAACCAAAAGTGAAACTGCTATTCTGAAATTAGTGCTGATCAGAGAGAAAAAGTAACTCATGATGTAGAAGCAGCAAGGCTATGGGTATGGGCAGCTAGGTAGTGCAATGGATAGAGTGCAGGGCCTGGAGTCAGGAAGACCTGATTCAAATCCAGCTTCAGACACTTACTAGCTGTGTGACTCTGGACAAGTAACTTAACCCTGTTTGCCTCAGTTTCCTCATCTGTAAAATGTGCTGGAGAAGGAAATGGCAAACCACTCCACTACGGGCAACATGTGGCCCATGTAGTCCCCACCACTGGTTAGGTCCCCTGGGCATTTGGGTTTCATTAGTTAAAAGGATGGCTCGTGCCTTTGTATGTTGTCAGAAGAAAAGAGGCGACATGACGAAGCAGTGGCCTTGGAATCAGAAGACCTGAGTTCAAATCCAACCTCTGCCACACACTAGTTGGGCAACTTTGGATAATTCAATGTCTTTGAGCATCGGTTTCCTCATATATAAAAAGAAGGGAATAGATGAAATCAATCTCTAAATTCTTCTTCTACTCTAGATATTAAAAGACTAATATGCATACTGCTCCACTCCTAAAGATATCATGAGGAAATCATAAGAAAGTCCTAGTTTCACATGAGAGACCAGGTGTTAGGGAAGGACCCACCTCAGGATGTAAAAATGCCACCCTGGACATCTGCCAATAGCACTTCCACTCTCAGAATCCTTCCCTTTCTGGCAACTGCATCACTAAACCCTGTCCCCGTGCTTACCTCATTTATGCCAATGGTAATTGTGGACACTGGAGGAGTGTTCTGTATGATCTGCTGCAGGACGCTGACATAGGTTTGAATTTCCAAGAGATTCTGTTGGAGGAATAGAAGTATTTCCATTGAAACTTTGCATGGCTAAGATTTTCCTTTTAGCAGTATGCTAGGTAATGGGGTGGAGGGACTGTAAATCTCTTAATTTGATGGTGAGAGTGTTTTCTGCTGCTGTTGATGCCTCAAAGTTTAGATTTTCTGTAAAGTCATAGGTCTGTCCTTTCTCATTTCTCTGAATTTAGATTATTCTGATTTCCCTCCTCTGCTTTAAAGATTAGGAATGGAAAGTTTCTAATCTCAGGTCATTTTTTCTAAATGAACAGAATACTTCCTGCTTCCTGATGCTCAGGAAATTCAAACTAGTTATAATATTGACTTAAGTAACATATAACCATAAAAGTTCATTTGTTGCACCCTACCCTAACATCTATATATTTCATTCCAAAGTCTAATAAGAAAGAATTGTGGGTTATTGGCTTTTTGGGTTGTCTATGCCACTGTTTTCCTTCACTGGCACAGAAAATTAGAGTTGATTATAAAAGAGTCAGGCCTCATTGTCAATTTAGACAAGTTCTCATGGTTCTAGGACTCTTTAGGAGTGATAATGGAAGTCGTATGGTACAAATAGAAAGAACAATGGATCTGGGTTCAAATTCTACCTCTGTCACTTATTATTATTTGACCTTGGACAAGTCACTTGGGGCCCCAGTTTCCTCATGTGTAAAATGAAGGTGTTGGACTATATGGCCTCTAAGATCTCTCCTAGCTCTAAATCTACCCTGCGATCTTTATCAAGGAAAATATTGGTCATTCTGGGATGCTACTATACAGAAAAAGTAGGACCTAGTGAACATGCAACAGCAGTATAGGTTGCCAGGCACGCTATTAGAGAGGTGCCCAAATACTATCCACAGCAGCCCATCCAGTCTTGTGAATCACCCAACTCAATGAGCAAATACAGGAGGCATGTGGAGGAAGAAGGAATCATCCACCTAACATCTGAGGATGGGGAGGGCAAAGAATGCCTGTCCTGACGCAGATGTTCTTCCCATCCAACTCCTAGAAGTAGCCATGGGCCACTTCTGGACCACCCAACATCCTACCCACTACAATTTCCCAAGGGATCAAAGCTGAGAGCAAATACGGAGAAGAAATGAAGCGTCTAAGGATGGGATGAGGCAATGGGCAAATATCATGTAACAAAGGGGAAAAACAGAATGAAAAATACAAGGATAGCAAACTATCTTCAGGTTCATTTTCCATGTGAAGAGTACAGAATGATTCAATGAATAAGCATAGCAAAGCCAATTACATGATGAAGGGATGGGGAGATATGATAGTAGCCTCCAGCATTCAGGTTAGTCCACTGCCACCAGATGGAAAAGATTTACTGACATTCATTATTTCCTTAACCAGTCAGGCCTCAAGATAGATGTCATGAAAACCTAGATTCAGTAACCACAATTGATTAACTTGAATAGCTGATGACCACCAACTGATAATAATTCTTTATCCCAGTGACTAGACCACATAGTATGGAGCCCATCCTCCTACATAGAAAATAATCATTGAGTGTTGTTGAGCAACCAGCTGACCACATTGATTTTGTTAGACAAAAAGAAAGGTAACTGAGGCCTCAGGTTTTCAGTCCCTTTGAAATTTATTTGGATTTATCTGACTGACTAAGACATGGGAGAAGGTTTTGGAAAATAGTTCATAGTTACCTTCTTGTACCTGTCCTTTGCTGCACTGATGTCATCCTGCAGAAACTGGGATTCGATCTGAAGCTCCAGATTATGCAGCAAGGCTTCATCTGCTTCCTGAAATGTGAGAAAGGGAAAAATGTCACATTGGTCTCCCCAAGGACAGAGGAAATCCTCAAGAAGCTTACATTCTAATGGAGGGATGCAACATGTAATATTGGGTATATTCAAATTAACAAAAGAGAGAGTGCTAAGAGAATAAGAGAATATTCTAAGAGAATAAGGAACAACTTTATGAAGGTTCTTGAGCTGTACTTTGAAGGATGTAAAGAGTACTGGTTACTATGGGGCACAGGTACATGGGAATTGTATGTGTCCTCACCTACATAGCACAAGAGGTGAGTGCCTGAACCCAAAATTTCTTGGTCCCAGCCATGGAGAGACAGTGGCTTAATCTTTCAGCCTAAGAAATAGAGTTCACGGAGGTAGATTGTATGGCCTTTATTTCACCCTCAGAAAATACCCACAATAACTCATAAACAAACAATACAATTTTCTTCCCACTCCATTGAATCCCTCATTTCTAGCCAGGATCTCCAGATTCATCGGTAACACGCTGTGGTCTGGATTCTCCTCAGAAAAAGAAGAAATTTGGGGTTGCTAGAGAAATAGCCACCAGAAACTATAGCAAGTCTCATCTCCACATCAAGGACCCCACAGCAGTGATATGTTCTGGAGCCAATTTGTACTGGCTCAGTGGAGCAGACTATTAAATTTTCAGTATGAACATTTACACCTCAGAAACTGGTAAATGCTACAAATCAGAGTTTGATTTATTGTTTTGTCAATCATCTAGACTTTAAAAAGTGATGGAGAAAATGTAATAATGAAAATTAAATTTAAAAGTATGTCACAGAAACATTTTTTTCTGGAAAGTCAGTTATTAAGCATTTACTAACATATTCTTACATATAGGCTTCCCATCATTTGATATTACCCTAAAGACTTGAACTTTCCCTGAAAGAAAAACAAATTCTAGAAGACCGGGTCCCCAAACTCTGAAAGTTGTGCTTGCAACCCCAAGGCTGGTTCTGCCCAGGAATGTCCTCTTTTCCTTTCCAAAAGTCTGGATTCCAGAACTCAGGAATTCTCCTCCTGAGTTGTGAGTGAGAATACATCTAATTTTCATGTGTCTTCTCCAGGTCAACTATTAAAGAATCACAGTGAGGCTTGGGGGAAGTTGTTCACATTCATAAGCTTTTCTCCCCTGGGACCCAAATCAACTCTGAGACCTATTAGCATAGTGTCTGGTCCATAAAAGGAGCTTAATAAATGTTAGCTAATTGATTGGTTCAACATAAAAGTCCTCTCAAAAGTCAAAATTAATGTCACTAAAGCTTATATGTTTTATTTCTTAGAAATAAAGGTCCTTACTCATATTTATCCTTATTTTAAACAATTCTAATATTCCCTCTTCTTTTGATGAGATTTATGCCTACAGTACTTCAATTGTATATTTAAAGCTTTATAAACATAAAAATGTAAGAAGATAATTAGGAAAACTACTCCTGCAGTCTGAGTCACCTACAGAAGTTAGCAGATTGAGCCAATGGGCATGAAAAGAAGGACTGAGCATTCTCTGGGGTCTAGGTAGGGCAGTCAGTCTGAAAACGTTCCTCCTCATATGGAAACATGAATTTGATGAACAATCGAAAGAAAAAAATCAGATTTATGTACTTGCTATATCTCTATTAGAATGTAACTGCCTGGAGTGTAGGAACTGGTTTATTAATTAAATTTGAATCCTCAGCATCTGACCCAATGCCTGGCAAATAGTAGGGGCTTAATAAATGCTTGTCGAGTGATTGATTGATTGGTTTTGGAACAGGATAAAAAATAGGCTGTTTCTTGGTGGTGACGAGAACACATATAATGCAGAGGTACATAGATCCAATTTAATTAAATGACTGGAAAGCAATAAGATGGTACCTACCCTCGAGACCACATGGCAAGATGTGATAGCATACTACAGGGCAAAGAACTTAACTCTGGAATAAACTGAGGATCCACATATAAACTACATCAGAAAATCTCAATTACAACGGCTGAATTCTGATCCTAACCTCCAGAGTCAGCATTCAGCTATATCTAGCTTGGGGTCATCTGCCAACTTAACGATTAATTTTTTTTTCCAAATCAGGCAAGTCACTATTGAAAACATCAATAGGCCTGTGCAAAGTCCTGGGGAAAAAACATTGCTACAGCCTCGTGGTTTGCAGTGATCTATCACTAACCAAGTCATATGATATGTGCCAACAGGTTCACAGTTCCCAAAGAGGATCAAAAAACGGTGAACAAAATGAAAACAAAGTCTGAAAAATCTTTGAAATTGGAAAGAATAAAAGGTATAGCATATTCATCTTTCTTTAAGTTAGGCCATTTGAATTAAAACAAATTTTACTCAGAATTCTTTGTGAAATATCATCCTACAATTAAATTAAAATGGATATTTGTTAAGCACCTACAGAATGGAGATAGCATCTACCCAGCTATTCTAAGCCCTAAGAAAGACACAAAGTTTGATAAAATGTGGTTCCTGCCTTCATGGAGCTAACAATCTACTAGGAAATCATGATGCATGCAGAAATAATTATTACACAAAATAATAAATGCCACATGCATAAGAGAAGTGCAAGCCAAATACCATGTGAGGTCCAAATGGAACAAGGTCTTTGTGGCCGTGGGGAGGTAAATTAGGTAAAACTTCCCGGAAAAAACATTGTTTGAGTCAAGGTTGGGTTTGCAGCACATTAAGTTTTTCAAATTAAAGTTGCACCTATTTGGAGGGTCTATTAAAACACAAGTAATTCTGTTCATCAAAATAAAGGGTTATTGACTTGCTTCTGACAGAATTTCTTCTTCCTTTAAGGGTTTTTATCTGATGAGTTGCTACCTTGTTGTTGTTAAGACATTTTTTTCAGTCATGTCCAACTCTTCATGGCCCCATTTGGGGTTTTCTTGGCAGAGATACCAGAGTGGTTTGCCATTTCCTTCTCCAACTCATTTTACAGATGAGGAAATTGAGGCAAATAAGGTTAAGTGACTTGCCCAGGGTCACATAGCTAATAAGTGTCTAAGGCCAGATTTGAACTCAGGTAGATGAGCCTTCCAGCACTATATCCGCTGCTACCCAAGTTGCTACCTTAGCCTGCCCCCAGGGGAGTCTGTAGCTGCTTATGCATTTGAGGGTATTCTCTCTCTCTATCTCTCTCTGTGTCTCCCCACCCCCACGGACCCCTCCAACCCCCACCCCTACCACCCTGTGCTTCCAAAACTAAGAAGTGAAGATGCATGTGTTTTCATTATGACATTGATGCTGTCAGCTGGTCTTTCAGATGTGCCATCAATGAAAACTTCTCTTTTTTTCCTCATTGAGACCCTGACTGATTCTAAAAACCCATTCTGACCCAGTCATCAAAAACATGCATGTGCCCCATCACATTTAGGATCAGCTATTGAAAAGAGGATCAGAGTAACAATGAGCGTCTGGTGAGGCTTTACAATGAGAACCACCAACAGAATTCATAAATATAATAAAAACCTCAATTCAAATCCAGAATGCTGAGTAGGTGAATAGATGTTATTTGAATTTCTGGTTAAATGACGTTTAACCAGAAAGCTCTTTCTGTTTCAGCTTTTCCTATTGAAAGTCTAAAGGGGAAGCTAGGTTAAAGCACTACCTCTGGAGTCAAGGAAACCTGAGTTCAAATTTAGCCTCAAACACTTACTATGTGACCCTGGGCAAGTCATTTAACCTCTATATGCCTCAGTTTCCTCAACCATAAAATGGAGATAATAACAACACCCATCTCTTAGGATTATTGTGAGAATCAAACAAGATATTCGCAAATCACATGGCACAGTACCTAGTAGGCACTATATAAGTACTTATTTCCATCCTCTTCATGCCTTATTAAATGAAACATTGAAATTTAATAATTACTTATATTCATAAGTTTATAATTTCTAAAGTGCTTTCCTCACAAACATATTGCAAGATAACTACTACAAGCATTATTTTCCTCATTTTAGATATGGGGAAACTGAGGTACAAAGATTTATGATTTTATGATAAAATTTTGTGATTTGTCCACAGCTTCATGGCTAGATACTATGGGATCTGGGACTTAAACCAGGCCTTTGAGCTTTTGGTTCTAGTTTTTCTACTACAACATTGCACTTCCCAGTATTTAATCTTTCTCTAATAATTCAGGATATTCTCATTTCTCCAGGTCATAATTCACATCAATTTTTATTGTAGAAATAGCTTTAAGATATATAGCTGATGGCGTTGATGGGGTCAATTTTGTTACAATCCCAGGTTAGCCCCTGAAAGTCATTCATTTGTCTACATAAAATTGTTAAATCACTTTTTTCTTCTCAATTGAATAAGTTAAGATACAGATAATTTTTTTTGCTTGACTGAGGGCTCCAATTAGCTGGGTCCTAGTTAATCAAAATTTTACTGTTTTTATGTTGGGAGCAGATTGGTAGATTTCAGGTCCAGTTTCCAAAGCATCAAATACTTTCAAGTTCTGGTACCTGAACCTGGGGTAGGAAAGGCTACTGTGAACCATCTTCAGATGTGCATCTAACAGAATTGGAAAGTCATTACTAATGAGATCCTTCTACAAGAGTAATTAATTAGCTTACAGAACAGATGCTCCTAACGTGCTCCATGAGACAAGCATTGGCGACATTCTCCCACTGGTGGGAGCACCAAATCACCTCTTTTATCCCTACCCCATCTACTGCTCCCATGTTTTTAGTATTCCCTTGTTCATTTCCCTTTTTTTCTTCTTCCTGACAATAATAATAATGATGATGGTGATGATGATGATGATGATGATGATGATGATGATGATGATGGTGACAACTCACATCTATGTAGCACTTTAACATTTTTAGAAGTGGCTTTCTCAAAATAATCTAAACACAAAGGAAAGAAAACCTTAAAATCTGTTGTCCACTTTAATGTCCAGCAGCTGGTGGTGTAGTGGAGAGAACACCAGGCCTGGAGTCAGGAAAACCTAAGTTCAAACCCAGCCTCAAACACTTAGTGGCTGTTTGTCCCTGGACAAGTCACTAAACCTTTGCCTCAGTTTCTTCAACTGTAAATAATATAATATGTAAATAAATAATAGCACCTACCTCCCAGGATTATTGTGAAGATCAAATGAGGTCATATTTGGAAAATGCTTAGCACAGTGCCTGGCACATAGTAGGCCCAATGTAAAATGCTAGCTATTATTATTCATTAGACTATGAGCTCCTTGAAGACAGGTACTATCCTTTTTGTTTTTTTTATATGTGTATCTTCTGAGCTTAGCCCAATATTAGGCATTTAATAAATGTTTGTCGACTGATCGACTGATATGCAAAATTAGGCCAAGTTGGGAAATAAATCTTTTCCATCCTTTTCTGTCTCTTTCGCCAATTATCTTTCCTTCTCCTCAAGTCTTCTAAATGTGTCCCCCAAAATCCTGCCCTTTAGAGTCAGCTAAGTGGAGCAATAGGTAAAGGTGCTGGGCCTAAAGGCAGAAAGATACAAATTCAAACCTGACCCCCAGACATTTACTGGAAGGGGTTGGGAAAAGGGAGTGACCTTGGCTAAGTCCCAATGTTTAGCTGCCTCAGTTTCCTCAACTATAAAATGAGAATAATATTAGCACCTACCTCACAGGGTTGTTATGAAGATTAAGTGAGATAATATTTGTAAAAGACTTGGTATGTCTGGCACATAGTAATTAATTAACTAATTAATTAATACCCATTCCCTTCCCTTCTTTCTATACTCAGAGATCTCCAGGCCCCACCCTGAATTCTGATCCCACATGTCCAACTTTCTGCTAGATATCCTTACCCAGGGATTACCTATAGTCACCTAGACTTCAACATGTCCAATAATTTCAATTCAATGTGCATTTATTATGTCTCAAATTATGCAAATCTTTATGTCCCAAAGTGAATTCACCCTGTTCCCTCTAAAACATGCCCCTCCTTCCAAATTCCCATGCCTTTTAATGTTACCACTATCCTCCAAGAGACCCAGTTTGTTAACTTCAATCATCTTTGACCCTCCCAAAGTCCAATTCCTTTTAAAGTTTGTTATTTTAGCCTCTCTAGTCTCTCCCATCTCTGCTCCTCTTTTCCATCCTCCCTGCTGTGCTCAGGCCCTCATTACCTCTTACCTACATTGTTATAACAGACTCCTAACTCTACTACCTTCTTTATATAGCTGCCAGAGCAACCTTCCTAATGAGCTGGTCTGTCCTGTTTAAAACCCTTCAATGCTTCTCAAATTCTTAATAAGTAAAGCTCAAGCCCTTTTGCCTGATATTCCAGGCCACCACCATCTCCATAGCCTGATGACATGGAACGTGTCCAGTCTTATCTCAGAGTATCACCCTCCATGCACATTATGTTCCAGCAAAACTGACCTTCCTATCCCCTATGTTCAAAGTACCTCCCCACCTTAACACCTTCATTTCCACTGTCCCCTAAGCCTAGAATGTCTTTTCTCTCCCTTTTTGCCCATTGAATTCCAACCTATCCTTGAAAGTCTAATTCAAATGCCTCTTCCTCCAGGAAGCCTTTCCTGATCCTCCCAGTTGCTCCCAGTTGGGAAACAACCTTTCTCCTTGAAGTTCACTTTGTTTTATAGCTCTCTGACCCATCCCACATACAAGCACACTGCCATAGGCTCCCCACCCCTGTAGCAGTCACTTAATAAAAGCCTGTCAAATTAAATTACTTTAGAGCTAGAAGTGCAAGGATAGCAAGTCCAATCCCCTCATATTACAGATAAGGGAACCAAAGCATAGAGAGGTGAAGTAGCTTGCCCAGGGTCACACAGCTAATAAGTATTTTAGGCAGGATTTGAACTTAGGACTTCCTGACTCCAAGTCCAGTGCTCTATCCATTAGGCCACCAACCTGCCAAGGTACCACATGACATCTTGTATCAAAGTTATTGGTACTTATGTCTTACCCTCCGACCAAAGTCTACAAGGGCTAGGAACTGTTATCTTACCCAAAATTTTTGTTTCCCCCAGAATCTATCCCTTTTCAGGAATTCTGTGTTTTGTACGTGATAGTCCCTGAATGCCTTTTGTCAGAGGAATAAATGGATGAATTTTTATATCTTCCCTCCTCTAACCCCTAGCCCTTCTCTTCCACCCTGACCGATCCCCATAGACAAACACAATGCCGTAGGTTCCCCACCCCTGCAGCAGTCACTTAATAAAAGCCCATCGAATTAAATTAATTACAAAGAGTTCTGAAAGCATTCTGGTTATTCATTCACCTCACTAGAATTTTTATTTCATAACAAAGTTGTGATTTGGACATCACCAGAATTTCTCAACAAAATCACACACTAAGAGAAATTGTGATGTAAACTTAATTCTGAGCTGTTGGATGGATGCAGCCACAGGGCCACCATTCTCTCTGAGGTTAGTACTGCTTATGTCTGATGGTTTTGTGAAAATAATTTTTTAAACTAAGCCTTTTCAATGCATAATAGCATTTTCGCCTGGAGAAGCAATTATTCAACCAATTATTTCTACAAAGCCTCTTTCTTTTTAATACTTTGAATGGAATTCCTTCATTCTATTCTGAGCTTTACTTCTGATTCCTACTCTTTACCTACCATATCATAGCAGCCTTCTCACCCTGTTCACCTTGCCTGCCCCTGCAGCCTCCTCACCCTAGCAGTGGCCTCTGCCCTGGGTCTTCCTTCTCACACAGGCCATACATAGTGTCTCTGTAAATCTTTTCTCTGATTGGTTGTTTTCTTCCAGTATTTCCATTTTAAGGAAAGAAGTATGTCAGCCACATCTTTACTCTTTTCTGGGTTCCTCTGCAGACTTTCCTCATCATGCCCCCAGTGGGTACCCTCCCCACAAGACATATATCTTTTTCAGCTTTCTTTTATGTGTTGTCTTTCCCTCTTAGAAAGTAAGTTCCTTGAGGGCAAGAATGGTCTTTCTGAGTGGTTGTATTTGTATTCTTAGCACAGTGCCTGGTACATGGAGATGTTTTTTGACTTGACTTGAATATTTCTGTAACTCTAGGTTGTGCCTTTTTTTAAGAGACCATTTGGGATGAAACAAAACTAAGAAAAATGTGGTTAAATATTGGAGATAAGACGCTGCCAGAACCATAAAACTTTGTTTATTTGATCTAATTATTTGGTCAGAGATGTGTCCAGCCAACTGCTATTCTCAGCCAGATCTGCCTGCTCAGTTACTATATTTACTTAACCCAAAGTGTAATATACAATTGAAAAAAGAAATCTGAGCCATTGTGTTTACACAACCAATGCCCAACTTCCTGAGAGGAGAGCATGATCTGAGGAAGATCCAGCAGGCACGGGTTACCCTTGCTCTAACATTTATTTCTGCTCCCAGAATGGCCAAGCTGCCCTGACTTCCCCAGATTGTAGAGCAGCTTCTGTCTCTGTTACGCCAATTCCAAATCATCCTACTCCCCTACCTATATTCCCTTGGGTAAAGAGCCGTCCAGTTTTTTATCCAATTACCCCATAAGCAGCATGGACTTTTCAAGGGAGTCAGATTACCAAGAAACATGACAATGGAAGCAAAGTACAAGAAGGATTACATCAGGTGGATGGAGTTAAAAGAAAAGAGCTTGACAGGGTGTACACATTTCTGAACTGGTCTGCAGTTCAAACAAAGACACTCAAACTTTTAGCAAGTTAAATATGCCTTGGTACCGGGTACAGGGGTGATGTGGTAGCACCATCAATCAACAAGGATAGAGATAGGGACTCTACCTGTGATTTCATTGGTTACAAGGGATTCCTGGAGAGGGAAACTCCCGCTGCCAAAGTAGATAAGCCACCTCTCTGAAAATTGCATGGTCTTAGCAAGCTGCCTAGAACATCAAAAGCTTAAATGACTTGCCCAGGGTCCCACAGCCAAAATATATCACAGGTGGTATTTGAAATCAGGTCTTCCATGGCAGCAAGGTGGTACAGTAGATAGAGGTCCAGCCTTGGAGTCAGGAGGACCTGAGTTCAAATCTGACCTCAGACACTTGAAACTTACTAACTGTGTGACCCTGGGCAAGTCATTTAACCCTGATCACCTCACCAAAAAAAAAAGAAAAAAAATTGGGGGGCAGCTAGGTGGCACAGTGGATAGAGCATCAGCCCTGGAGTCAGGAGGACCTGAGTTCAAATCTGGCCTCAGACACATAACATTCACTAGCTGTGTGACTCTGGGCAATTCACTTAACTCCATTGCCTGGGGGGAGGGACTGGGAAGAACTCAGGTCTTCCTGAGTTCTAGGCTTGCTCTGTATCCATTTGCCGAAGTCACTCTCATCAATTAATAAATAATTATTTAATATTTATATTCGATCTGCCTTTGCCACGCCCACAAATAAATCAATTAGTTAATATTTATGTGTGATCTGCCTTTGCCATGCCCACAAATGTTGCCTAGAAAACATCATAGGGGAACACAGCTTCTGGCTGGTGAGGCTATCCAGAGGTCGATTCCTGTGCTCTTATTTTTGACCTTGAATTTAATAGACTTCTAGGAAGAAAGAGGAAGCCCAAAGTAGGCAGCTTCAGAGGAATCACCATGCATAGCTGAGAGAGGGTCAGAATACAATGTGCCTGAGTAAAGGCGGAGGAGAGCGATGGGCAGGAATGGATGAGTGGTAGGGGCATTTGGGCAGAATCTGCGGGATTTTTGCTTCTGATCAGGTGACTCAGAAGGACAAGATGGCAACCGTCTTCCTCTCCCCCTCCCTTTCACAATCCAGATAAAGGTCAAATTTCCCTTTTTGTCAGTCAGTCCTTTCACTTCCTGTTTTTCCATTTTCTCTTCCCTGTTTCTTCAGCCAGGATTAAGAGTTTCAATTTCTCCATTTAATTTTGTGCTTATGCTATTTAACCAAAACTATCTCTTTAAAAAGAAAAACGTTTGTTGGACAACAGACCTGAACTGTATTGACTGGCTATTGAGTTGCACTGCCCAAATTTTTGTTTTCAGTTGAATTAGACCCAGTGGCTAGAGGGTCAGCCTTGGAGCCAGGAAAACTTGGCTTCATGTTCTGCAAACACTTACTGGCTGTCAGACTCCGGGTAAGGCACTTAGAACTGCTCAGTGTTCTCGGCAGCTCTCTACATGTCTCGTAGCAGGTGCCAATTTGCATTCGTGGAGGATACTTCCTCATCTGGGAATTCCTTACATGAATGAAGTAACAAGGCCAGTCCCTATCCCCATTGAATTATGCAGAATAAGGGGGGAGGGGGAGGGGAGAACCACATTCTTTTAAAGAGAAGACTTCCTTTTGTTTCAGGTTTCGGGGGAGGGGAGAAAGAAGGCGACAAATTGAGCAGCAGAGGATCTACTACTTTCATAACCCTGAAGATTGCACAAATCCCATTTCAAACCTTTGACTTATTTTCTTTTTCTTTTGAAAAAAACTTTCTGTGAGACCGAGAGGAGAGTTGAGCAACCTTCCCAAACAGCTGCTTGCAATAATAGCCTAGCATAAGAGGAAGAAGTGAGGACTTTGTACAAAGCTCTGGGTCTAAACAGGAGAACTCCGGCTCTTCAACTGCTGGACAGCCAGCTCCTGGAATGGGCAGAGCTCTGTATGGCCCCTGGCCTACTCACAAGCTCCCCCTGGTGGATGTATGTGTGTTTTTTGGGAGGGGTGTGTGTGTGTGTGTGTGTGTGTGTGTGTGTGTGTGTGTGTGTGTGTAAGGATGGAGTCCTTTGATAGGCCATAGCCCAGGGGTCTTATAAATTATCAAGTTCATTACAGTTAGAGTATTTCCAGAAATTGGAGGGAATATGTCATTCCAGCTGGGGAAAAGAGGCCTTGGTTTTTTGGCTTTAGATCTCCTTCCCTTTTGGCCAGAGGAAGACCTTCTAAGTTTTGAAGGGGTTGAGACTTTTCATGTTCCCATCATATTTCCATGTTCTCTTATAGCATCCTCAGAGCAAATAATGTCTTTGTCAGTACTGGGAGCCCAACATAGACTGGTCATAAATTTGTGGCTCTGCAAGGAACCCCAGAAAGAAACCACATCACACCCAAAGGGAACTATTTAATCACCTCACAAACAAGAGAAAAGGATTTGCAGCAACCAGGAGCTGTGGGCTACCCTTTTGCCCCATGTGCTGGTGAAGCTTAAGCCCATTTTTCCCTGGTCTTCTGCATTGGGAAAGAGTTGCTCAGACGTTTGACAAGATGTTTTATATCAACTCTTCTTACTAAAGACCTGAGCTCAAATCCAGCCTCAGATTAACTGTCTGACTCTGAGATAAGTCATTTAAACTGCTGCCTTCCTCAGTTTCCTCAACTGTAAAACATGAATAATAATAGCACCTACCTCCCAAGGTTGTTGTGAGGATCAAAGGAAATAATATTTGTGAAGTATTTAGTCCACTGCTTGGCACATAGTAGGTGTTTCATAAATTCTTGTTTCCTCTTTCTTTCCTTTTTAAAAACTTTAGCAAAATACCCTTTCTAAAAGTTACTAAAGGCTGGCTGACTAAAATGATTCTCAACTGATCATCCTGGGGGAAACACACTGGACCTGTGGCGTTGGAGACCACCATGACTCTTCAAAGGTACCCCAAGAACACTGAGGGGGAAATGTAGCGTTTTTGCAGGACTGGAGACTCATCAGTGAGATTGGTAATTAGGATAAGGATCTTCGGAGATTATATAGAATACAGGTAGATATAGATCAATATACATATGTGTGTATCACTTTAAGATTTACTCACAACAATCCTGCAAGACAGGTACAGTAAATATTACTATCCAAATTTTACAGCTGAGGAAAACAGACTCTTGGCGATTAAGTGACTTCCTTCTGGGCACACAGTATGGATTAAACCCAGCTCTGCTGACATCTGATCCAGAGCTCTATCCACTAGACCACCTTTTCCCTCCTACAATGTGCTGCCAAGGTATTTGTTCAGGCTGTAGTGCCCGGACCCTGTAAGAAAGCCATTTGCCTATCTAGCCCTGAGCTTCCAGTAATCTTAGCACCACCTCTCTTACTTCTCCTGGAAGTACCCATGGCTATAGTACTAGTGAACTTCCCATGCTGATTGACCTGCCTGAAGTGTAGTCACTAGATAAGCTGGTTTGACCTTCTGGACTTACCTCTTAGGGAGTACCTCAACCTAGGCTCCCTTCTGGTTATGTACCCATGATGTATCATATTTTTCTTAAATTTGATACTTTTTTTGATACAACAGACACTTCTCAACAAAAAAAGCAAACAAGCCCCCTTAAAAATATGTTCCCCCAAAACATCTGTGTAGAATTTTCAAGTCCAGCCTTCAACATTTATTAATAGTGTGACCCTGGAAAAGTCACCTGCCTCTGTGAGCCTCAATTTCATAATCTATAAAATAGGAATAACAATACCTCTAGTAACTACCTCACAGAGACAGACAGACATGGGGGAGAGAGGGAGAGAGAGAGAGAAAGAGAGAGAATGAGAGAGAGAGAAATCGAGAAAGAAAGAGACAGAGGGAGAGAGAGAATAAAATAACTACTTAACCAAATCCAAATTGTAAAGTTACTTGAAGGGGAAATACATTAAGCAGACATCACAGCGATTCAATACAGCATTGTCTGTGAACCTGCCCAAACCCAAGGATGTAATAAGCTCACCTTGTTCAGTCGTTCAAGCGTTTCTTTCAGCAGGAGCTGATATTCACATTCATTTTGATACCTGCAAATTGAACGCATAAAGGACAAGTAAGCAGCTTATGTACCAATCACACAAACTGTAGACTGTGCTAATGATCTACAAGCAATCTAACATCAGTCAACAAGCATTTATTAAGCACCTTCCATGGGCCAGGTACCAAACTAGGTTCTGGGGCTACGAAGGCAAAAATTAAACAGCTCCTACCCCAAAAAGACTTACCCTATCTTTACATTCTATCAGGTATGTATGCACAGAGGGGGCATGAGTAACTAGGGGGTTCAAGAAAGGCGTTGTGTGGAGGGTACTTGGGGTGAGCCTTGAAGGAAGCTAAGGATTCTGAGAAGTCAAAGTGAGTCTGGAGGGTGCCCCAGGCATGAGGGACAGCCAGTACAAAGTCAAGGAGACAGGAAATGGAGTGCCATGGATAAGGAACGGGAGGAAGACCATGCTTACTAGACCATAGAATGTGGGCTGGGGAGGACACTCCGACTCAAAAGGTTGATTAGGACCAGGTAGCTAGGTGTTGCTGTGAATGGATCACCAGACTGAGAGTCAGGAAGACTGAGTTCAAATCCAGCCTCAGTCATTTACTAGACGTGTAACACTAGGCAAGTCATGTAACATCTGTCTGCCTCAGTTTCCTCATGTGCAAAAAGGGGATAATAATGGCACATTGCCTCCCAGAATTGTTATAAGGATCAAATCATATAATATTTGTAAAGCTCTTTGAAAACTTTAAAGCACTATATAAATGCTATTACTATATTCCAAAAATGTATACAGAATTACATACATGTTGTTGTTCAGTCATTTTTCAGTCATGTCTGACTATTTTTGACCCCATTTGGGGTTTTGTTGGAAAAGATACTCGAGTGGTTTGCCATTTCCTTCTCCAGCTGATTTGACAGATGAGGAAACTGAGGCAAATCAGGTTAAGTGACTTTCCCAGGGTCACACTGCTAGAAAATGTCTGAGGCCAGATTTTAACTCAGGAAAATGAGTCTTCCTGACCCCAGGCCTGGCACTCTATCCACTGCACCTAGCTGCCCTTAATTATATACATGTATTTATACACACACACTCTCTCTCTCTCTCTCTCTCTCTCTACATATATATATATAAATATGTATATAGTTGTATGTGTGTATGCATGTATATAGATTTATATGTATGTACGTGCATGTGTGCATGTGTGTATATGTTCCCCTGGAGCTCCTCCTCTGAAGCTACTTCATCATAGTATGGGGATGACCCTAGATTTTCAAAGACTATGTCAACAGTCCATGCTCTGGATAGATCCTACCAAGCTGGAAAGGTTTAGAGGACAGACCTGGAGATAGACCCTGGGCCCATCAGCCTGGTGGCATTTAGACTGGCCACTAGGCAATGCCTTTTTTGGCCTCAACATTTTAGGAAGGCATATGGAGGCAGCTGGTGAAACAGTGGATAGAACAATGGGCCTGGAGTCAGGAAGATCTGGCCTCAGACACTTACTAGCTGGGTGACCCTGGGCAAGTCACTTAAACCCTTGTTTGCCTCAGTTTCCTCAACTGTAAAATGTGGATAATAAGAACACCTACCTCCCAGGATTGTTGTGAGGATCAAATGAGATAATATTTGTAAAAAAAAACAAAAAAAACCCAACCCTTAGTACAGCACCAGGCACATATCACATACTACGTAAATGCTTATCCCCTTTTGCCTTTATGAAGACCATCTACTACTAAGGTAAAGGGAGTGGAGGTGGGGGAGGGGCATGGAGGTCAAAATCCACATTAGTGGAGAAAGTACCCACCGAGACGAAATTACAGACCTTCTGAAGCACTGCAATTTAACAGACAAACATCCTCTTATTTCTGTGGGGTTTCTCTCCCTAACTCTAGGGAAAATACCACTGCATTGGAAACAAAGGAGAGCAACTCAGCACAATGGTGTGCTGAGAAAAGGAAACTTGGGAAATCTTTCCACGTGCAGGAAGCGGAGATGCCGATTCCCAAAATAACTTTCCTCCTTCCTCTGCATCACGGAGCCAACGGAGCACAGGTTCCTTTATGTATTCACACACATCCAGTCTAAACTGGAGTTCACTATGGGGAAATACAATTGGTGAATTTTTAAATTATGTGTTTAGATTTTTATTTCCAAGGTAGGAGACAAGAACAAGACCCAAAATGCCATCGTCATGGGTAGCGCTTCCAACGGGGAACTTGCTTTGCCAATACAGTTAGCGCCTTCTCTGCAATTTATGGTTTTAGAGAGTTGACCTATTGGTCAAATGCCTTAGTCTGGGTCACGTAGTTTTTAATCTGTCAATGAAAGGACTGGAACCCAGGTCTTCCTAACTCCTAGGCCACTCTGTCCACTCTGTCAAGCTGCCCCTCATTTTGTCTTGCTAGCTGGACTTTAATAAAGGAAAGTAGGTTGGTATTTTGCAAGTATACTTGAATTTCATAAGTGTAATCTTTCCTAATGGGGCAGGGAGGAGTGGGGGATGGCCCAGGGTCCAAGAACAGACTCACAGGACCAGGATCCAGATTACCAGCACATGAGACCTTAGATAAAACACTCCACCTAGAGAACCTTGAGCTCTCTTATCTCTCCACTGAGGGGGTGGGCTGGCTCAGGGATTCTTAACTGTTCTGGTGTCAAGGATCCCTTTGTGTCAGGGACCTCTCCACAGGTAAAACTTACGCACCCCTTCTCCGATTTTTTTCCAAGACATAAAATAAACACAAAGGATTACAAAGGAAACCAATTACATTGAAATAAGGTTATAGAATTTTTTAAAAATAAGGTTTAAAAAATTTTTATGACTAATATGTAAATATATTTTGTATGATTTCATGTGTATAATCAATATCATATTGCTTTTTCAAGGGGTGAGGTAGGGGCAGGAGGGAGGGAGAGAATTTGAAACTCAAATTTTTAAAAATGAAAAAACTTTTTAAAAATAGTTGGAAAATAATGAAATAATGAATATAATTATATATTATATTTCTATATTAAAAATATAATGAAATAATGAAATGATAAATAAAAATTTATTTAAAAAAACAATTTTATGATCCTTTAAACTACAAGATCTTCAAGATCCCTTTCAGTTCTAAAATTCTATGATTCTGTGATAGTTCTCATAGTTTTAATCAAGGCAAGAGTTGTTTCTTTAATAGATAAAATTAGCTTTGAACATATCTTTGGAAACAGAAGTCAGATTCATGAATTTTCTCCTCTCTCCTTCTTAACACTGACCAGGGTTTTGGTACTAGGCTTCTAGGTGACACAATAGATAGAGCACTGAACCTGGAGTCAGGAAGACCTGAGTTCAAATTTAGTCTCAGACGCTTACTAGTTGTGTGACCCTAGGCAAATCACTTAACCTCTGTCTACCTCAGTTTCCTCAACCTTAAAAACGGGGATAATAATAGCACCTACCTTCCAGGATTTCTGTAAGGATTAAATGAGATAATATTTGTAAAGCACTTAGCCTAGTACCTGGCACATAATAGATGCTATGTAAATACTTATTTCCCTTCCTTCCATAAATATATATTTAGCATTCAATATAATATAATGCTAATACCTGTGATTCCCATACATTAAAGAAAGGATTCCCCACAGTACAATGAACAACTTCTTTAATTGTAAATAATGTAATTTTAAATACACCCTCACCCCCTACACACACACACACACAAACACACAAGCACGCACATTTCAATGCACAGGAGCTAGATCTAGAAAGCACTTGGGTAATTAATTGGATAGAGCACTAGACCTGGAGTCAGTAAGACCTGAATTCAGATCCTGCCCTAGATACTTACTATGTGACCTTAGGTAAATCATCTAACCTCTGTCTCAATTTTTTCATCAGTAAAATGGGCATAACTATAGCACCGCCCTCACAAGGTTTGTGTGAAGACAAAATGAGATAACATATGTAAAGCACTTTGCAAACCTTAAAGCATTACATAAATACTATCTGTTATTATCACCTAGAGCTACCATGGGAGGGACCTAAGACTTTATCTAATCCTACCCCAACATTTTAGGCAGCTGGTGGCACAGTGACTACAGTGCTGGGCCTGGAATCAGGAAGAGTGGAGTTTAGATCCAGTCTCAGATATTTACTACCTATGTGTGACATTGAACGGGTCACTTAACCGCTATCTGCCTCAGTTTCCTCAACTGCAAAATGGGGGTCAAAAGAATAGCCCCTACCCTGAAAGGTTTCTGTGAGGATCAAATGAGATAATATTTGGTTCATGTTGTTTTGTTTTCTGGACGCAATTGGAGTTAAATGACTTGCCCAGGGTCACACAGCTAGTAAGTGTCTGAGTCTGGATTTGAACTCAGGACCTCCTGTTTTCAGGGCCAGTGCTCTCTCCATTGCACCACCTAGCTGTCCCCAAGATATCTGTTTTAAAAAAAAAAGTGCTTAGCACGGGATCTGGCACAGAGTAGACATTATATAAATGCTTATTCCTTTCCCTCTTCTTCTCAATTTATAGAAAAAGAAATTAAAGTTTAGGAAAAGTTAAGTGATTTGCCCAAGGTTATACAGGTAGTAAACTTCAAAGGGCAGGATTTGAACCCAGTTCCCCTGGCAATGCTCTTTTCACTATAATATGTTACCACTGTAAAATTATTGAGACAAAAGCAATATTTTTGTTAAATAGTCCAAACTATTGCCTCAAAACCCTATTTCATTTTGCTAGTCTAGTGTGAAGTGTGACATAGTGAATACGGAAACTGTCTGTGGAATCAGGAAGACCTACTAACATAGCAGATCATGTGAGGACAAGTCACTAAATCTTTCAAGGACTCAAGTAATTTTCTAAAATTAAAAACTGCATTACAATTGTCTACCTGCATGGGTACTGGGTGGTCTGCGTGGAGGAATGGATGGATAAAATCATAGGTTTGGACTCAAAAAACAATAACCTAAATATGGCCTATAAATCCCTCAGTAGAAATTCCTGCTACTTTCCATGTATTAAAATTCTGCTTTCTGAAGTCCTCTAACCTCGTAGGCATAGAATAAGTCTTACATTAGTAGGCTTCATAGATGATGGCTACATATATTTCTGCACTTGGAGCCTCAATATTTTTTACTACTTTCTAGCTTGGACTGGTTATGCATTCAACTGAGGAATATGAAACCAAATTATATATGACTGGAATATTATGAAAATGTAATTTCATTTTTAAAAGAAGTTTCAACTTGCCTCTCTAAGTGCAAACTTTCTTAACAGATCATTTGTAAAGGAATGAAATTTCTCAGATAAATCACAAAAGGACCAAGTAAAATAAAAAAAAATGACTAAATTTAAAACTGAGATTTCCTTAATTAAAAGTTTAAAGCACCTTTATTTCAAAGATCCAAATAAATAAGTTGCTTCCTCAATTCTCAGGCAAATCTGGGGCCCAAATGACCCTGATAACCTTTTTGGATTTTGGGACAAGTGCATAATTTTTCCCTTCCCTTTGGCTCTAAGTACATGTCTTACATAGGTGAATTTTATGAAAATTAATCTAAAAGCAGAGTCAGTCAAAATTTGATCCCTTTATTGGGTATTACACATGTGAATCTCTGTCCTTACCACATTTTTAAAAACAACAATAATCAGAACTAGAAATAAAGGGCATCATGGGAAATGTAGCTAATTTATATCACTTGATAGATACAATATAAAATGGTTAAAGAAAGCTGGAGAATGAAATGGCAAACTACTCCAGTATCTTTGCCAAGAAAACCCCAGATGGGGTCACAAAGAATCAGACATGACTGAAATGACTGAACAACAAAGATTCTTGTTAAAGGTAAGTCTTCTACTGTTAATATACATGGTAAATCTAGACAAACTCTTTTAACTCTGGATTTGCATGTGTATATATGTATGTTTCTGTGTGTCATATATATTTGTGTGTGTATATACACATGCACATATATATAGCAGTACTTAATGGTACATGCAAAAAAACACAGTCCCTAGAAAACATTTAGGAGTACCATGTTCATTCACTAATTAGCAAATGAGTTTCCTGAACAATTTCTAGAATCCTATTTTCGCCCCCTTTGAAGTTATCTGACTATGGCTGTTGATAAGTGGTAGAGTGGACATTGCCCGCCCCGATCGTAGAAAAGTTCTATTCTAGCCACCTTGCTCCCGCCAAACATCACCGTTACCCCCACCTTCAGAGGCCACACCTCCTCCTGCATCCATCCCAACGAAGCTTACTTATTTCGGAATTCATCGAGCACCCGTTGGGCATCCTTGTCCTCCCGCTCCAGCTTGGCCCGGTCAATAGCCAGGTCCCTTGCCCGCTGAAGGTTCAGCTCTATTTGCTCAGAAAATGCTTCCTCCAAGCTAGTCAACTCATCTAGACGCTGGAAAGTTTCTAACTGCTTTCGGAAGATGGCATTGCGCTGCTCCAGCCCTCGGGCCCAGTTGATGTAATTGGCAAAGCGTTCATTGAGCTCCTGCAGATTCTCCAGCCCTTGAGCCTGGCCCAGGCTACTCAGCTCTCCTGAGCCATGTAATTCATCAGCCCTCTCGTATTTCTCCTTTCGGGTCTCACGCAGATAGGTGCTCCTATACATGGCCACTTGGGGTACCTATGAACCTCCTTCTCCCTTCTCCTTCTCTTTGGCCCCACACCAGGGGCGGTGTCTCCCTCCGTCTAATGTGGGTACCAAATATAACACTTCTGGGTGGTAGGGGAACAAGATGAACACGATATCTAAATGCTTGGCTTTCTGCATCTGTCCCAAGAGCCAGAATTCCAGCAACCCTCTAAATAAATATCCGCGTGCCCCCACGTCACTCTTCTCTGCCTTTCTAGAACCAGGTCAGCATTCGGGCAGAGTGTCACCATCCCCTAGCTCATGAAACATAAAAGAGAGGGGGCTTTGGCTTTTGCAAGCTGGTTTAGAAGGCCATGGATCAGGTGCCCTACAGAGGCCCTGAGAATTAAAAGGCTAAATCGAGATCATGGGTTAGTAGCTTTTTGTTCTATATTTGTTTAGGCCCCTAGTTGTTTTACTGAATGGCAGGCCTGGTAAGAATGAGAGGCATGATTTCTCTGTGATTGGTTTCATTGTTAGGTTATTGTGAAGGAAATGAGGGCAGGATGGTATACATAGAAAACCAAAGGACAAGGAAGTTCAGCTCTCTCAGCCCTCATGAGACAATTAGTAAATAAGTTAAGCAGCAATGCAGTAATTAATAAAGTATAGTGCTTCCTTTAGGCACGTCTCAGCTGCTCTGCTGTCTGTGAAGTTTTCTGTGACACTACTGTGGGTACTCAATAAATATAAAATTCACCTTTCTAAAGCAAAAATATTCTAGGTAAGTTTAAGATATAAGAAGATCCAAAATCAATAAAAACTTGCTAATTTCTGTCAAACTACTTTCCAATTTTTCCAGGAGTTTTTGTCAAATAATGAGCCCTTAATCCAGAAGTTTATCAAACACAAAGCTATTAGGTTCATATGCTTTAGTGTAATGTGTACCTAATCTGTGCAAATGATTGACCTCTCTATTTTTCAACTAGCTCAAAATATTTTATGATTTCTATTTTGTATTATAATTTGAGATCTGATGTTAGGCCCCCTTCTTTCCCACTTTATTCATTATTTTCCTTCCAAATATATTTTGTTATTGCTTTCCTCTCACTCTATAAAGTAATCTATTGGTAGTTTGATTGGCAGGGCACTGAATAAGTAAATTAATTTAGGTAGTATTGTAATTTTTTTATACTGGCTCATGAGCTAATTACTATTTTTAGCCTGATTAGTTATCCATAAGAGGGGACTGGTCTTGGTCCTTGGAGGCAGTGGGCTCAAACTTAAAGAAGTCACTTGTAAACAGCTTTGGTCCCACCTGTTCACTTCTGAATGTGATATAGTCACCGAAGGAACTGCTCCCTTGGGCTGGAGCCCACATGTGCTTCCCTAGGGTCTGTGCTGGCACCTCCCTGGGGTCAGCTACTAGCAACTCAGGCATTATCTTACAAAACCCACATGGTGGGGGTTAGGGATGGGAAACAAGCATTTATTTTTATTAAGCACCTAGTACATGCCAGGTACTGTGCCTTTAAGCACTTTACAAATATTATCTCATTTTATCTTTACCCTATGAGGTAGGTGCTATTGTGATCTTCATTTTATAGCTGAGGAAACTGAGGCAGACCAAGGTCAAGTGACTTACCCAAGGTCACACAGCTAAATAAATATCTGATGCCAGATTTGAACTCAGATCTTCCTGAGGTACCGTGTTCTCTCTACTGCACCAACTAGTTGCCTCATAGGTCATAATGCTCCAACTAAGAGTAAGAAAAAAATAGATGCAAGGATAGAAACCTCACCTCCCCACCTTTCCATCTGGGCTTCTACTCTCAAATTGAAGGAATAACAAACTCTGTTAGCTCATTCACCCTTAAAAGGGTGCTGAGGAAGTGTTCCAGTATTGTAATGATAAGGGTAATAAGAATCCTGTAGTGAGGAAGACTCATCTTTCTGAGTTCAAATCTAGCCTCAGACACTTACTAGCTGTGTGACCCTGAGCAAGTCACTTAACCTGTTTTGCCTCAGTTTCCTCATCTGTCAAATGAGCTAGAAAAGGAAATGCCAAACCACTCCAGTATCTTTGCCAAGAAAACCCCCAATGGGGTCACAAAGAGTCAGACACAACTGAAATGACCAAACATCAATAAGATCACAGTTCTTAGATAATCTACAAAAGTAAGATTAACTCTTCTGGGATTTTTAATGTCATATCCTTCACTAACTGTTGCAATTGAAATCTATGAATAAGAGAAACTGAAGCAAAAAGTTCCAAGCATAATCAGTTTATTAGCAATGGCTGGCAATTTGCCAATAAAGTGGGTCCAAGACAAACTCAGTTGGTACAAGGACAAATAGATGTTTTTACAGAGAGCATTTTTATAGTTAATAAAAAGGAATCAATCAATTAATAACATAATTGAGTAATACATTTACCAAGTTTTCTGATTGGATGGAGGTTTATAAATCTTAGGTCATTTCCAAAGCTCAGAGTGAAAGAGGAATTTGAAAACTGGTATAGTTCCTGAGGGGTATAAACAAGTCTTCTTGCTGAATGGCTGGAGATATAGGTATTGATTAATGTAAAGTTTTATACCAGCAGGTTATATCATTATCTGACAGGAATAGGGGATTTCCAAAGAGAACCTTTAGAAGAATAAGTAACTATAATAGGTTCGAAATATTCAACGTATGGGTGTCTCTGGCCCCATGTGACTATAACTGATAGTGGAGTAACCGTGGTCTATAATCTATAGCAAGACTTTTAGTCAGAATGAGGAACTTAGCTCATTGGCTGCTGAGCTCTTAGCTTTGCAAAAATGGGAAAGTTAGCTAATAGAGAAACTGAGCAAGAGTCAATGCCCTGTCAGCCTCTACAAGGGCACATACACACTTCTCTGTCTTTGTTATTTAGTCAATTAGTTGCACCCAACTCTTCAGGACTCCATTTGGGGTTTTCTTGGCAAAGATACTGTAGTGGTTTGGCATTTCTTTCTCTAGTATTTACACAGAAAAGTACTGCCATGGGGCAGCTAGGTGGCGCAGTGGATAGAGCACTGGCCCTAGAGTCAGAAGGACCTGAGTTCAAATCCGGTCTCAGACAGCTAACACTTACTAGCTGTGTTACTAGCTGTGTGACCCTGGGCAAATCACCTAACTCCAATTGCCTCACCCCCCCCCCAAAAAAAAGTACCATCACAAAGAGGTGAAGGAAGGAATTAGCATAGTGAGCTTCCTCGTGAGTGCAGAGGTGACCAGAGCCATGAGTCACTTTGTCATCCCATTTCCTAAAGCCCACAGTGAACATAAAGCCAAACAAATCACCAAGAAGACATTCACAGTTGGTATCACTGTCTTTTGCAGAGTATAAAACAGAGAGATTCTGCAAAGAACTTAACAAAAGTCTCCAGACAAAGTGATGTATGACTGATTACTCAGTGACTTAACTCAATGTGAAATGGATCATGGGGTAAGACAGATAAAAGGAAGTTGGGAAAAATGATTCCAAATTAAAAAACTAAAGAGGCTTATAGATTACTCAAACACTTCATTTCTTAATAATAATGAGAATGGTAGTGTTTCTATAGCACCTATTTATGCTCCAGGCATTGTACTAAATTCTTTACTATTATTATCTCATTTAATCCTCACAACAACCTTGGGAGGTAGGTGCTATTATCTTCTCCCATTTTACAAGTCTTCCTGACTCCAAGTCCAGTTTTTTTTTTGCTTGTTTGTTTGTTTTTAGGCAATTGGGATTAAGTGACTTGCCCAGGGTCACACAACTAGTAAGTGTCAAGTGTTTGATCTGAGGTCATATTTGAACTCAGGTCCTCCTGACTTCAAGGCTTGTGCTTTATCCACTGCGCCACCTAGCTGCCCCTCCAAATCCAGTTTTTGGGTACCACACCATCTACCTGCGTGTAATGAGAATAAAAGAATCAAAGAATGTTAAAAACCCAAGGAACGTTAGGGATTAAATCCAATACCTCATTTTACAGATCAGGAAATTGAGGCCAAGAGAGGTTAAGTGATTTGACTAAAATCAGAGAGCTAGTTTGTAGCAAAATGGAGTCAAGACTAGAACTCCCAGTTGCTTCAAATGTGACCCACCTACAATTAGGTCATTCATTTATTCAACAATCACTTCTTAAGTATAGATATATACAAAGCATTGTACTAGGTCAATGCTAGGGGACTTACAAAGATAAGATACCAATGATTTCTCATGGCATAGAGGTGACCCTGGATTCTCAAAACCTGTGCCACAGAGCACAGGCTATATCTTTCTGTAAAGGCTTTGAATAAGGTCCCAGTGAGAGCCTGCTTGCTTTCCAATAACCAGTCTACCAAAGTATGTAGAGCTTTATCACCAATATGCTGTCTAGTTGGTGATGAGTTCCCTGGCCACAATAGCCTAAGAATCAAAGAAAAATGCAAAATGACTCTCTGGCCTCTTTAATCTGTTTCTGATTCTACAGTGACAATGGGGATGTGTCAGAAAAAGGGGATTGAGGAAGCTAAGAATCACAGTTTTTAGAGTGTATAAACATTCATTTAACTTTTGGTATTCTAAATTTAAGATCTTTATCCTGTGATTGACAAGTGAATATACTGGAGAAACTGAATACTAATAAACCATGCTAATGTCAGTATTATCACACACACACACACACACAGAGGAAGTTTTGATTAAATTGAAGGATGCCTCCTTGGCAGAATTGGCATTATCATGCATCCAAAGGCAACATGAAACTTTACATGGGGAATTTGGTCATTTCATATTACATTGCTCATGGTAAGTATAAGTAAAATAACCACTGTGAAAATAATTGCACTTGTGTATCTCCTATGTCTCAGTGATACCACTATTAGGTCTATATGGCAAAGAGACAAAAAAATAGGAAAAGGGTCCATCTGTACAAAAATATTATTAGCAACTCTTTAGTAGTGGCAAAGAACTGGAAACTAAAGAGGTGCCCATCAGTTGAGGAATGGCTGAACAAATTGTCATACATGAATGTAATGAAATATTA